CCCTTCAGTAGAGTACCCCTTACAATGCTTTAAATCAGCAGGGTACCCCCTTCAGTAGGGTACCCCTTACAATGCTTTAAATCAGCAGGGTACCCCCTACAGAAGGGCACCCCTTACAATGTTTAAATCAGCATGGTACCCCCTACAGTAGGGTACCCCTTACAATGCTCTACTAACGCACAGGGTGGGTTAGTAGTTGACCAGAAGGTGGTCCACCCTCTCCTGGCAGGTTTGATGTGGTGACATCATCTTTCCATTTCCTCAGAATAGATTTAGTGGAGCTCTGTGGAACCCAACCAATATCTGATCTCTATCCTGTGCGGATCGATCCTTGGTCTTCATGATGTCTCTTGCTTGGTGGTAGTTCTAACTAGAGATATTTGAATGACATGAACAAATATTCCTCATTTATCTTACAAATATTGTTTTAAATCAATAAAAAAAATCCAGTTAAATCTGAGGTTGTAAGACAACAAAACTGAAAATACACTAAGAGGGGGTGAAAACTTTTGCAGTCAGTGACACCACAGGAAACTGTCAGTCACTTTAAATGTTCAGGTAAAATGAAGTCACTTGCTGCTGCAACAACAGGAAAGAATAATGTTTTAAAGCTCTTTTAATGTGTTTAAATTCTGAAAGAAAAGCAGAAAATTTAACTCTAAACATGTTCAGAAAAACTAACTGTGTAAAACAACTCAAATGAGAGGAAAAAGGTACTCCTTCAGATTAGCGTAAATTTTATTTTTTCTGAACTTTAGATTAATTTCCAGCTCTAATTTCTGATTCAGAACAAAAGTTGAAACGAACAACAGATCTGCTTTGTTTCAGACAGAATATTTAGCTGATAAATGACAGAAAACTGACTGTAGGATTTGCATGTTGTTTGTGACGTAAGCAGGAGGATTTATTTAGATCCGGACGTTCTGGCTCTGGGCCCGGGTGCATCTGTTCCTCTGGGCCGCAGTAGACTGGGTCAGAACTGGGAGAGTTCAGAGTTCTGGGGTCAGAGCTCAGTCTTATTTCCTGGTCTTGATGGGAACCAGACCAGGAGGTCTTTCTCCATGTTTCCATGAACTTGTAACTTCCTCCTGAGGTGAAACATCATGGATGAAGTGGAAACCCAGGAGTTTGACTCGGTCTCTTCATGGTTCAGACGTTCTGATCCAACTGGTCCAACTCTTTCGTCACTGCAATAAACCTCCCTGATGTAACATGGTGTTAAATATAATCATATAGAGATGAATGATGAAATAAAGTATTTAATCGGATGGTTTTATTCTGTCAAAAAAAATCAAACTATAGATGTATTCTATGTAGAGACTCTGTCATATATTTATTTTAGGACTAAAGCTGCTGGTCTGTCTTCACATCCATCCATCCATTATCTTTAGCTTTATCTGAAGTCAGGTCGTGGGGGCAGCAGCTTAAGCAGGGCAGCTCAGACCTCTCTATCCCCAGCCACCTCTTCCAGCTCTTCTGGGAGGACTACAAGGCGTCCCAGGTCAGCCGAAAGACATAGTCTCTCCAGCATGTCCTGGGTCTTCCTCTGGGTCTCCTCCCAGTTGGAAATGCCTGAAGGAGGCATCCTTACCAGATGCCCGAACCATCTCAACTGGCTCCTCTCGATGTGGAGGAGCAGTGAGCTCTCTCGCACCGCTTGTATAGGGGTGTCTTCAGATGACAAATTATATCCAAGAATGTGGCTGTGAAGTTAAAACTATTGAATTCTGTTGCCCCTTTTATATTTGAGAGTGAAATCACTATATTTAAAATACACTCAAATGTTTTCTGTTTAGTCTGTAAAGCTGATGAACATGCAGAAACACTCGTCTGATGCAGTCATCTGGACTGGTTTTATCTCAGGAAGAAAAGATGTCACAGGTTCTCTGAACAATCCACCAGTTTATTTCTCCACAGGTCTACGTATCAGTAGGTCTATCAGTAGGTTTTTATAATGAAACAAAGTTTAGTTTTAGTGTTTGTTTTGATTTTACTAATGAACAGGATGGAACCCAACCAAACAACATAATGTTCCAGGTTCAAATGACTCACATGAACAACTACAGAATAACTGAACTTATGAGAACACTTGTTTTTGGTAAAATGTAAAAAACATACAAGTCATACAGACTGTACTGTTGCTGCATGTGTTTCACTAGAAGTTGTATTTAAATAAAGTTGCCGATGTGAAAAACATCTGGGCTGAAGAGACAGATGTTCTGATGGAGAGGTCACAAACTCTTGGTTTAATAAAAATGTTGACTATTTTATGTCATGAAACAAAGCTTGACAGCCTGTAGATTTCTGTTTGATTTATCTGTAGGATAACTTTTACACACCAACATGTTCTTTCAACACTATGACATGTTCTGACTCTGAGGAAAGTTCCTCTGGTTAAAAAGCAAACACTGGTTTGTCTGCCATTCTGTGAAGTTTACAGCCTGTGAGTCGGAGGAGGAGGGGGCGCTCGACACTGAAACAACAGAGGACACAATTTAGAGATGGTTTAACTCGTACATGTTGGAAGATGTGAGTTTATTTCCATCAGGCGAGTCAGAACCAGAACTTACTGGTCTTATTCGAGTACTGGTACTGGGGAACTCTGCAGGAGCGAGGTCACTGGCTTCAGCCTCTGGTGTGAGAGAGAGACAGAGAGAGAGCGAGAGAGTGAACAATCAGCACATCTAATATCGGTTTATACAGGAAGCAATGAAAAACATGTCTTGCCTGCAGATTTTGTTGATTCCATCAGAACAAACTGCTGATTATCCTCCAGACAACTAGAGGGAGCAGGACTACCTGTTGAGCTACCATCAGAGACTGATGGGTCTGGGACTGGTTCTGGGACTGGGTCTAGGACTGCGTCTGGATCTGAGAAGGTAGTTGGAGTCTGGAGAGATGAATGAAGGGTCAGAAACAAATGCACAATAATTAACATACTTGTCTGATAATTGCAAAAATCTCATAGTGTACAAGAATTTAACCACTTCAGTGCCTGACTGAATGAACCCTTTAACTGCCCTGTCAACCAAATGGTTGACCATATTTTGAGCTGATAATTTTCAAAGAAGGGAGTGTTTAACCAAACTAAAACTGACTGAGCCAGCTCTACTATTTTGAAGTATGTAATGCTAAAAATATCCACGAGAAGGCACTGTGACAGTAAATGGTTAATCCTCTCCTCCAACCAGGAAGTCAAGAACAAGGAAATTTAGCATGACATGACTTATTAGGTAAATTTTGAAAGAAATTGATACTTTTACATATTTTGGTAATAAAGGCCTTACTAAACAGTTTTTTTTTACCCTTGATGCAGCTCAAAACTAAATATATGTTTAAACATTTTTAGAAAATGTGCTCTACCAAACAGTTGATTTGTCAATTCATGACAAGAGTAGAAAATTTAAGCTAATCTAATTAAAAATGATTAGGCCTACTACCCATAAAATCAATTTATTCAAACCATTCTAGTTTATTTATTAAATGACTTGTTCATTATTAGTACATCATGAATATGCTGAAGGAATTTTCATACTCTTTATTTTTGTAGCTTTTTAAGTTGATCTTAGTCGCTATGAGTAAAATCCAGAAAAACGTAGAAATCATAATGGTAAATGGGCTTAACTTATATAGAGCTTTGTCAAGTCCCTCAGGACCCCAAAGTGCTTTACACTACAGACATTCACCATTCATACACACATTCACACACTGATGGTGGTAAGCTATTGTAGCCACAGCTGGGCTGCCATGCACCGGCACCACCGGACCCTCTGACCACCATCATTATAATATACTCTATAATGAAATAACACAAGCAATGTTCCCCTCAGTGAGTTGAAACAAAGTCTACTTCTTGGAGCTAAATTGGTGACATTATTCAAAACCATGAGAGCCTCAGCTGTCTGTTGTCTTCTGTGACAACATCTTTACAAGTTTCAGCTTGGTCCAGAACTTGCATACATCTTTGGGTGTTAAGTGCATTGTACCATATGATCAAACTGCATTGGTGAAGATCATTCAATGAACTAATGAAAAAAAGGGTTGTGCAGCCTAAGATACCAGGTCTGCTGAAGGGGTGATTGCAGTAAAAGGGTTTGACAGCAAATGTGTCAACCCTCTGAGCAATGCCTGTGGGATCATGCCTTTTTTGTAAACTGGTGGATCAACTGAGTCTAGTATAAAGACTGTTATCCCATACCCATCACTTATCCCTGCTTACAGTGAGCATATGGGAGGAATTGCTCTTTGGATATACTGGTACACCTGTACAAGACCACATCTAACTCCAGGAGGTTGCATCCCCATTTGGGTGCATCCTGTATCGGTGCAAATTTACTTCTTCCCTCTGACATATGAAATGATGCACCCCAAGACCCTCATGACCAAAACCACAACCAGTAGATATCTTCATTAAGATAATTTAGGACACTGGCCTCTTTATCGTGACAAGCAAGAATAATGCAACCTATGCCCCAAGGGTGTAACAGGGTGGAAATGTCATACAGGTATTGTTTTCTTGTGTTTCAACACACCAGGAATACTTTGTAGCAAATTACCGTCCGTCCATTTCTTCCGCTTATCCGGGGTTGGGTTGCGGGGGCAATAGTCTAAGCAGAAAGACCCAGACTTCCTTCTCCCCAGCCACTTGAGCCATCTCCTTTTGGGGAATTACAAGGCATTCCTAGGCCAGCTGAGAAACATATAACTTCCAGCGTGTCCTGGGTCTTCCTCTGGGCCTCCTTCCGGTGGGACGTGCCCGGAACACCTCACCAGGGAGGCGTCGAGGAGGGATCCTAACCAGATGCCCAAGCCACCTCAACTGGCTCCTCTCAATGTGGAGGAGCAGTGGCTCTACTCTGAGTCCATTGCGGATGACTGAGCTTCTCACCCTATCTCTAAGGGAGAGCCCAGACACCGTGCAAAGGAAACTCATTTCGGCCGCTTGTATCCGCGATCTTGTCCTTTCTGTCACTACCCAAAGCTCGTGACCATAAATGAGGGTAGGAACGTAGACCGACCGGTAAACTGAGAGCTTCGCCTTCTGGATCAGATCTTGCTTTACCACGACAGACCGGTACAGTGCTGTCATCACCGCAGACGCAGCACCAACCTGCCTATCAATCTCCCGCTGCATTCTTCCCTCATTCGTGAACAAGAGCCAGACTCCTCCACTTGGGGCAAGACCTCCTCCCCGACCCGGAGAAGGCACCCTACCCTTTTCCAGCTCAAGACCAAGGTCTCAGTTTTAGAGGCACTGATCCTCATCCCGGCCGCTTCACACTCAGCTGCAAACCACTCCAGTGAGAGCTGGAGATCAGGATCTGATGAGCCAATAGGACCACATCATCTGCAAAAAGCAGAGATGTTATCCTAAGGTCACCAAAAAGGATCCTCTCAACACCTTGGCTGCACCTAGAAATTCTGTTCATAAAAGTTTTGAACGGAATCGGTGACAAAGGGAAACCTGGGCAGAGTTAATCTCTCACCGGAAACGAGTCTGACTTACTACCGGCAATGATGACCAAGCTCTGGCATCGGTCATACATGGACCTAACAGCCAGTATCAATGGGCCTGGTACCCCATACTCCCAGAGTACCCCCCACAGGAGTCACCAAAGGACACGGTCGAACGCCTTCTCCAAGTCCACAAAACACATGTAGACTGGTTGATTGAACTCTCATGAACCATCCAGGACCCTGCTGAGGGTGTAGAGCTGGTCCACTGTTCCACGACCAGGACGAAAACCACACTGCTCTTCCTGAATTGGAGATTCGACTATCCAAGGGACCGTTCTCTCCAGGACCCCTGAATAGACCTTACCAGGGAGGCGTAGAAGTGTGATCCCCCTAAAGTTGGAACACACTGTACGGTTCTCCTTTTTAAATAGGGGGACAACCACCCCGGTCTGCCAATCCAGGGGAACTGCCCCCGATGTCCACACGATATTGTAGGGTCACGTCAAGCAACACAACCCCACAACATCCAGAGCCTTATGGAACTTCGGGCGAATCTCATCCATCCCCAGCGCCTTGCCGCTGAGGAGCTTTTTAACCACCTCTGTGACCTTGGCACCAGTGATTGGGGAGTCCGACCCAGGGTCCTCAGGCTCTGCTTCCTCATAGAAAGACATGTCGGTGGGATGAGGTCTTCGAAGTATTCTGCCCACCAAACCAAAATTTCCCAAGTTAAGGTCAGCAGCACACCATCCCCACCATAAACAGTGTTGGTGGCAAACAGCTTTCCCCCCCTGAGATGTCGGATGGTGGACCAGAAGTGCCTCGAAGCTGTACAGAAGTCTTTTTCCATGGCGTCTCTGAACTCCTCCCATGCCAGAGTTTTGCCTCAGCGACCACCCAAGCCACAATCCACTTGGACTGCCGATCTATCGGCTGCTTTCTGTCTGATCCCTCACCTAAGACCTGTTTGCCTTGGGTGACCATACTGGGGGCATGAAACCCCTGACAACATAGCTCCTAGGATCATTGGGATACACAAACCTCTCCACCACAATAAGGTGGCAGCCCAGGGAGAGGAGGGAGCAAATCACCATAAATGAACAATATCTTATGCTCTAAGAGGAGTAGTGTGATTACACAATCACACACGTTTTGTATAAGAACACTCAATCAGAAGTCAGCTGAATTTTGTGCTGTTGCACTTTTTACACAAGCAATCAACCTAAAACTTTATACATTCGTTTGATACAAAACTTTCCTTTGTTAAAATGAAAAGACACAATATTTTTTTGGCAGATGAGCATGTTTTTTTTACCTTTTCTAATATTTGTGCCATTTGTTTGCAATTTTGGACCTTAACTATTAAATGACATCTCAACCGTTTGGTAGAAGTCAATATGTTGAAACATAAAGGTTATGTTAAAGAGAAAAAATATTTACTGCTGTCATCAGTCACCCAAGGAAGCAAGAAATACAAAAAATAATTTTTCATAGGGCTTTTCTTGGTGGGTAGTTTGATAACAAAACAAAAAAGGATTTTGTGTATACACTACTGACTTAAAAATATGATTTATTTTGTTTGTGTGGACTGTTCGGTGCAGGCCAGGAGCTCATTCTGTGTTCCACACAATTAGAGGATTTTTTTTTGCATTGACTTTGTTTGGACGATTTAAAGGTAAATAATGTGTTTTAGGCTATTTGTGTCACATCCTGGCTGCTCCGTCTGGTTCTCTGTTGCTTGTCACTCCCACAGCTCATGCCCCGCCACCGGCTTCACTGCCACACTTCCCACTTCACTGCCACAGTAATCAACCTCATCTGCTTCACCTGTTCTGCCTCCTACTTAAGCTACATGTCCACAGTCTCTTGGTGTCAGATTATTGAACAGTTCGCCAGGTGGGTGGCCAGAGTTTTTTCACAGTCCTTGCCTTTGCCTGATCTCTTGTTCCTGACCCATTGCCTGCCCCCGGACCTTTGTCTTTTGCCTGCTTCTTGTCTGATACTCATGCTGACTGTAATCCTTGGCTCTCGACCCCATTTCTGCACTTTGGACATTGTTTACTGGTTCATATATTGGATTTGTTTTAAGCTCTCTGACCCCCTGGCTCTGACTTCGAACCTCCCTCTGGATTCTTGAACTAAGCCTGTCCTTTTGCTTCGAGATCTGCCCACTCAGTCCTCAATCTATGGTGGTCTTACCTGTCAGGAACATCTCCCACCGGAAGGTCAGTAACTAATTTCCTGTTTACCAAATGCCTGCTTTGGATTCATTGATGCTTTGCTCCACAGAGTGTGTGACCCCAAGGGTCTGACGACACACCAGTTTGCGGTTAACAAATCAATCTTTTAAATGTGTTTTTGTGTAAAACAGCTCTGAATCCTAAAAGTAAACTTGTTAATTTGATGCACTGATGGGGATCGTCCTGGACCACTTCAGCATGCAGACTGAGTTTGCACAATTTTCCACAAAATACTATAATATTAAACTCTTTATATGATCACTGGTCTGAAGACACAGAAAGATGTTTTATCAGAAATGGGCAGACTGAGTCCAAACTCACCTCCTCCTCCTCCTCTTCATCATGGAGGAGCTCAACCAGCGAAGATGGAAAGAGACCAATTCGTCCATCCAGCTCTCCTTCCCAAAAACCGTCATCCACCTACAGTTCATTTTTTAACACAGTATGTTGTACATCTGTTAACATCTGCTGTCAACACATGTAATAACCATGTAATACATTTACCTGTGACCCTCACTGTGTGTACACAGATATATACCTGTTGTACCTCACTGAGTGAACAGTACACAGATATATTACTGTTGTACCTCACTGTGAACAGTACACAGATATATATACCTGTTGTACCTCACTGTGTGGACAGCAGATAGTTGTACCTCACAGTGTGGACAGCACATAGTTGTACCTCACTGTGTGGACAGCAGATAGTTGTACCTCACTGTGTGGACAGCACATAGGTGTACCTCACAGTGTGGACAGCACATAGTTGTACCTCACTGTGTGGACAGCAGATAGYTGTACCTCACTGTGTGGACAGCACATAGTTGTACCTCACWGTGTGGACAGCASATAGTTGTACCTCACAGTGTGGACAGCACATAGKTGTACCTCACAGTGTGGACAGCACATAGTTGTACCTCACTGTGTGGACAGCAGATAAGGTGGATTAGCACCCCCTCCTGGAAGGAAAGCTCTGATGCGCTCTGAGCTTGGTAAGAGTCCAAAGCTCTGACAACACCTGAAACAGAAGAGTGAGACCACAGAACACATTAAATCTGTTTTCTTTATAATTACAGGGTACAATATGCAAATTCTTAATTAGAATGACAAAGGACCTAATACAAACCCAACCAAAAAAATTTTTAAATCAGATTTTTCAAATTTTTATTGTTTTTACTGTTTTAGATTTTTACTGTATAATCTAATAGTTTACATAATGTTGCTAATAAAAGGCACAGATCAATTAATCTGTCTATTTTTTTGGATTAACTGATAAATCAGAAAACAAATAAAAAATTTAATTTTTTTCATTTCCAACACTTTATTCAAAACAAAACGAAACAAACAAAAGAAAAAAAAACATTTGAAATGACATAGAAAACTGTACAAAAACAGGTTGCTGCCTGAATATTCTGTTGTGGTAATAGGAAATACAAAAATTAAGAAAAATGTCAAACTTAACTAAAGAGAACTAAATGTCAACTGAAGTATACACAAACGTGAGCTACATACCTAAAAATAAATGTGCATGCTACTTCTTGTTACATGCAAAAAAGAGACAGTTAAAGACCCTGAGCTGTTGGAATAATAAATAAAAGACTAGACATGGGTTTTTATGATGTAAAAACAAGTGTGCATTGCCAAGTAGCTTGTCATTGCAGCATGGCTTTGCCTGCAGCATTGGACTTGCAGAATGAACTTTGGCCAAATTCAAATGTGTTTTCTATACCAGCTTGTGCCTGTCACGTCAGCAGGTGTTTAGAATTAAGGTAATTGTGTGACAATATGAAGTTTGAAGAGATTTTTTTGTAAAAGTTGCATCAGCCAAGTTTAGAACCCTGATCTCCCACATGAAAGTCCATGACACAGACCATTAGACCAATAGAGTTGTGGCAAAAAGTGATGGCACGGGCTGTTTTGTATGTGTGCAGAAAGAGGCCACATTGCCAATACAATTATTGACACTAAACTGCATAATATTACAACAATAGAGCAGTATTAAGACAATATTATAGTAAAACATGAAAATACAATCATAGTAGTATTGTAAACACTGAACTATTGAGAATAAATATTAAAAACTATGGTGCAGTACCAAGTTGAGTACAGCTGAGGGCAGTATTGGACCATTACAAGGCCCCATTGACTCCCATTTTATGAATTTGGAATAAAGTTTCAACATTAATATTTCAAAAACTACAAGTTGTACAGGTACCAAAAGGCATAGCAATCATTTGGCACAGGACCTTTACAGATAGAAATTACAATGGCAGCTGTAGGACAATGTATGCAGGAGCACTGGACTTTCAGAATGAACTTTGACCAAGTTCAAATGTGTTTTCTATACCATCTTGTGCCTGTCACGTCAGCAGGTGTTTGTAATTAAGGTAATTGTGTGACGATATGAAGTTTGAAGAGATTTTTGTTAAAGTTGCWGTAGYTKGATTTGAACCCTGATCTCCCGCATGAAAGCCCACAGTGCTCATCATGAGACTATAGGAGATGTGGCAGAGGATAATCCCAGGGATTGGATTGGATGTATACAGAAAAAAGTTTACCTTGCCAATGCAATTATTGACACTTAAGTGCAATATATTACAGCAATATGACAACATAAAGACAGTATTACAGTAAAACATCAAAATACAATCATATTAATATTGTAATCACTTAACTACTGAGTTTAAATATTATGAAACTATGGTGCAGTACCATATTGTGTAGATGCAGCAGGGGGCAGTATTGGACCAATACAAGGCTCCATTGACTGCTATTATAATTTATTAAACATTAAAATTTCAAAAACTATAAGTTTTACAGGCACCAAAAGGCATAGCCATCATTTAGCACAGGGGCTTTACAGATATAAATTACAACGGCAGCTCTAGGACAAAGTATGCAGGAGGAGAAGCATGGCAAAGTGGAGATGACTTGGATGAGAAACGAATCACAATAGTGTGCATTGCATTGGCAATGCACACTGATAAAGAAATGCAGATCAGAAAACCCAGTAACAGGATTTGCTTCACAGTAACACTTGTGTATTAATGTAAACAAATACAAATGCATGTTACTTTTTAAATAAAGTGCAAACGATTTAGACTGTGTTGTAAAAATCAGAGTAATTTAAGTGTTGATTGCAACATAGGTTGTGTTTTTGATGAGTCACCTCTGCAGCAGAAGCCAGACTCAAACCACTGACCTCGGCTGTGGACTTTGTTCCCCTTGGAGGAAGTGGAGCTGGACGAGCTGTCCAGCTGAGGTGTGTCCTCTACTGGGAGACCCAGGAACTGTACGTACCCCTCAGGAAGGTGCCCCACCTGACCACAGGAGTTACACACCTGTCAGCAGGTACACTGTGGGAGCACCACTGCTTCTGAACTCCTGTTTAAAAATACCTTCAACCAGTCCTCCAAGTCTCCATCTTCAACCACATGAAGCTCCGCCCCCTCAACCAATGACAGCTCATCTGATTGGGTAGCCTTCACAAGGAGACATGTCAAACATTTTACATTCCACCATAAATCAGTCCAACCATCCATCCATTCAAATATAGTGTATATACAGCTTTAACTGATATATCTGAACCTGATAGTTGTAGATAACTCTGCAGGCTGCAGGGAAAACACAGACTCCAGAGGCCGACACAGAATCTGCAAAAATGTCTTTATTCACATCCTCATCTAAATGAGTCAACTCAAACTCTTCTTCCTGAAAAACACACAAACACAGACTCTATGACACAAAAATAAATCAGTTTACTGCACTTTCACATGTAGAAATGCTTGGATCTTATGGTACAAACCTACATGAAATTACTGAAGTGATGTTTGAAAACAGTTTGATGCTGGAGGGAATGATTGTGTGAATGTTTCAATTTATGGAAATTAAAAATAAACTATTTAAGTTACTTACAGTGGTTTAAAATAAACATTTTGTTCTTCACTAAGTGTCTGCATTCTGATTGGTTGGATATTCATATATGTACTTATCAATCAAACCTGAGCTCTAAATATTTAAAATTAATATTTCAATTATATATATATGTATATATATATATTACAAAACTATACAATTCAATATTTTATGGTGTTTGATGGTTTTTTTTTTTTACTTTTTTCAAAAAGCAAATACGTACAGTTTTACAAAGTTTTTCTGTAAACCATACAATCACTTTTAAAATCAGTACAAATTATTTCATGTCACAAATAATTAATTTTTATCACAAAGAATTGTTCTTCAGCTGCATATCCAAAGCCGAACCGGCCATTAAGTGAATTAAGCAGCTGCTTAGGGCCCTGCGGCCACTAGGGGGCCCTGTGTTTCCCATGTGCTGTGGTATGGGGCCATGGTGCATTATCATTGGATCACATTTGAGGAAGATGGGTTGGGAACCACTACATTAAGGTTTTAATTACCTTCACTAGTTTTGATGGCTGTGATAAATTTATAGATGCTGTTCTGGTGACCTGTTTCAGTTTTCTCCTTGTTGCTTTAGTCCAGCTAAGGGCAGTGCAGTCAGTTTGTGACCCAAACCAGGTTCAAAACCTACCATCAGCACCAACTCCCTGACAAAACAACAGAGTGATTGTATGGTACTTTAGCTTCTGATGGTGATTCAAGGGTTAACTTCAGGTTTGAACAAATCCCACAGTGAACACAGGAGTGTGAGCCTTCCAGTATTTGGACTAAACATGCTGCAGACCTTAGCCCACATTAGTACACTGAAAACAAAATGATTTTTGGGTGTAACTGTTCTTTTACATTTTACAAAAAAAAAATCAAAATATCTAAACTACTAGAATTTACTAAATAAACAATACGCATTATATTATATATCAATATTACTGTACAAAAAAGTAAATGCTAATATGATTTTACCAGTAATATTTTAGTGTTTTTTCTGGACAGCACATAAACATGAACATATTAAGTAACTTCTACTCTTCTGGACTAAAACTGAGGGTGCATGCACACACAAAGGCTGCTGCTCCTCATTCCCTTGCTTCACTTTCAAGGAGAGGACAAGACATGGTGGAAATAAAACATAAGTTGTCTGGTTTCTTTTGCTTGAATACATTTGTTGGTGTGCAATAGTTTGATGACGTAATGTAGGTGATATTTAGTTGTCAGGGAACAGGGAATGCATATTGTAGCATTCTGCTGTGTTTGGCTGTTTGTCATGTGACTGCAGTGGAGGATTGTGGGTAGGATTCATGTTTGTTGTTGTTAAATCAGTTTAGGGAATTGGTGAACATTGTTCTTTCAGCAATTAGTCTGTTGTGTTACTCTAATTTGTGTGTTCATTATTTGTTAACTTGTGTTAAAGCGTTCAGCAGAAGTAACCATAAGTGAGAGTGGTAGGCCTAGTCATTAATAAGACCTGTGAGTTTCACTTTGTCTGTGTTGTTCATGAAGAAGAATCCAATAAAGGTTCTTCATAACTGCCACCTGGTGGTGAAGTCTTGAACTACAACAAGAGCTACACCTCTCTGTAGCTGTGAGGTGTCATGCTACAAAAATGTGCTTGACACATGTGCACTGTTATAAAGAACTTGTAAGATTTATTAGAAAAAATCCTCGCTACTATCTGCACCAATGTTTGTTAAGTAAATTTAAATGCTACAAATTCATGTAATATTTAATCATCATTATCAAGTAAAAGTTATTAAGATTATAGTAAAAGATTTGTGAATAAATCGGGTAAATTTTACTTAGTTTGATCAAATATATGTTACAAGATTTAATTGACCAAATTAAGTAAAATTTACCTGATTTATTCACAAATCCTTAACTATATTCTTAATAAGTTTTATTAGATAATGATGAATAAATATTACATGAACGAATGCATTTACATTTACTTACCAAACGTTAGTGCAAATTTGTTAGAGGATATTTTCAAGTACATCTTACAGGTTATTTTTTTCAGTGTACCTTCAGAGCAGAATAAAGTCTCCAGCTGTAAGGATTCTGGGACATATTGTGGGGTGAACACCTCTGTAGCCTCACACTGTGGAGAACTGGCCCTGCTACCTGAAGTAAATCTTCCTGTTTCAGCAGGAGAACTGTGTTTACTTTACTTTGAAGTTAATATTCTGGTACTTAGACAGGAAGATGAGTGATACCAGGCTGAAAATGATGTGTTTCATACTGAAAAGTCTTCTGTGGACATCCTCTGCTGGCTGAGGCCCTCTTCCCTGTCCAGCTCCCCCTCCACCTGCTGCATGGCGTTGTGGAGCCACTGTTGACTTCCTGAGACACTCTGAGACAGCAGAGCCAGGCGAGCCTCGGCCTTCACCTTACTGAGCTGAGGAACCAGAGCTCTGAGTTAGACTCCCCACACAGACATGATCCCCCATGTTTGCCTTGTATGTCTTCTTGAATGGTTGTTTATTAACTGGCCCCTCCCCCCTTCCCTGAATGTACAGCACCTTGTGAATTTATTTCTGTGAAAGGCGCTATATAAATAAAACTTTACATTGTTCCACGTTAACTCTGTACACATTTCCTAGGCACATTGTTCCAACTTAAAACAGCTCCAGTCTTTGAAATCTCATTACCAATTAATAAAAATACCATTAATTAACATTTTTTACGTCACCAAGGAAAAGCTGTTTTTTAACGTGAAGGAGCTCTCTTCCAGCATGACCTCTTGACCTTACAGGTCTTGATTTCTCTTGAACTGAACTCTGTTCTGAAAAAGTTTTCTTACAGACAAACTCTGTCCTAGCTTTCATTAATTTGTCCTTGTTTTCAGATCAAGCTGACACGACGGTTGGTTTTAATCTTTTGTGCTTAGTTTTAAAAAAAGAAAATAATCATTAACATCCTGTGACATGGTTTTTCCTTTTAAAAGGTATTATTCAAGTGTTGTTTTCATCACTCTTGAACATGAATATTGAGAGACAAAATGTTTTTTTTTTAATAAAGAACTCGTTCAGAGGCTCTGACTCAGTGTTCTTAGTCTTTTTTTATATCATTACACTCTTTTCATATGGGTATTATAGCTGTGGTGGAAATAACTTACATAACTCTGCCTGCTAAGTTCACACTAGCTTGGCCTACTCCTAGTCTGTATCTCTCTGAGAACTGCTACATTTGTTTAATCTGTTCTCATGATTCTTAAGATGCCATTTCATGTCTGGGACCTCGCTCTTATTTTGATTTCTCTGTTCCAGCTGTTGCTCTTTCATTGGACCATGTTGACATTTGTAATCCTGTGATTGGCTGTTCACGGGATCCGCCCGGAAGTATATTGATGCATTTCCTGTTCACTGGAGTTTCAGTGGTGACTTGATGGAGCTGCTGATCGGCTCTGCTCGGTTGCTACACATTTTTACCTATGCAAACCTTATTAAATTATCTGACAACCAAACTGCGCAGTGCACCTTTCTTTTATTCACGTGTTTCTGCCTTAGTGGATATTTCTACAACAATTTTGGCGTCACGAACAGGATTTCTGACTGTCAGTTCATAACTAACAATAGCTATATTTGAAATGTTCCCTAGAAGCTCCAAAGGTTCATAAGCTAGCTGCTAATATTCACACTTGTAAACAACCACAGATGTGAACTCTTATGGACTCTGACAGACATTTCCTCACTCTGCTGTTGTCTGTAGTCTCTCATCTACATGTTTGTTGTAATTATTTCTATCATGTGACTTATTTTTTGTCTTTCATCCCTCAGAAACTACACCTGGAGCTGTGCGCACACAGGTTAACAGTAAGTTATCAGATGTGCAGTGGCATGGTTTACTGCTTGTTCATGACTGGGAGAAGTAGAGCAGAAGCAGACAGGATCCCACCTACCTGGGCTTTTCTGACAGTCTCCTGAACTTCAGCTATCTTCTGCTCCACACTGAGCTCTGTGTCTCCTGACAGGAGCTTCAGTCGACTCTGCAGCATCTGCAGGGCCTGTTGAAGAGGAACAGAGAGAAACCAAGGAGAATTTCTGTTATCATTCACAAACAAGGATAAAACTGCTGCTGTTCAGCTTCTTCTGACTTTGTTTTTTTAGGAAGTGGAAAGAGATGACCAGAGTGAACAGCTTTATGTCATCAAGTCCATTACAAACAATCAAACCAAACAATCATTCAGATCAGGTGTGACTGTAGAACAGACTCATAGATCTAATCCTCCACCCTTCATTGTTTCCAGCCAAGTGGAAAAATTACTCTAAAGCAGATTAAACCCATAAAAAAACAAAGGTAAGATGTCCAGAATTAAGCCTTTTTCACCATTCCTTGGCTGCTTGTTCTGTGGATTTTTCATGTAGAGCATTGACACTGATATTGTTGGAAAGAGCAGAGTTTGGACTTTAAATTGATGGACTACTTGTTTGGTTTGGATCATATTGCCCCGACGTTGGTGCACTATAAACAGAATGATTTTCAGGTGGCGTTTCGGCAGCTCTCAGTACAGGAGGGGAGGGGCGCTCGCGTTGTGTCTACACTGTAATATACATTCTAGCAAGTGTTTGCTTTTACATAAAACTCATGAAAAAGTTACCTAAAATAAGTTCATACTCTGTATAACACAAACGCACACATACACACACACACTTACCTTGTGAAGGATCTAATGTTCTTGTCAGAAGCAGCACAACGGTGAATGCTGAACATCATTCAGTTTCAGGCTCTCAAACTGTTCACGTAGCTGGTGAATTTCCTCCTGGATAATATCATTTACCTCCAGCACTAAATCCACAACTGCAGTCTGTAGTAGTGGCATAATCGTGATCCGAACGTCTAGTCTATATACGAAGTACGTCACTAATAGCCGTGGCATATGGGCTATTTGTCTCTAAAAAAGCTTTTTGCAGAACAAAGTTCAGTTAATAGGGAGACATGACCAGTGGTGGTAAAAAGGTTATATCAGGGGTCATTCATGCTACAGCTGTTTATGACATTATTTTAGGAAATGTTTTGTTGGCAGATGTTCATTAACCTCCAATTCTCCCACTTAATACTAACGTAGCAGAAAGCATGTAGTTCACCACAGTGGGGCAAACTGAAGATGTGCACTCCTGACTCAGCAAGCCCTGTCAGCTGTGGAGGAATGGAGATGTTCATTGTTCTCATGTTTGTTAACAGTTATCAACCATGCAAAGAACACACAGTATTTATTTATGCATGCAGCATGGACCCAGTTTAAAGGAGGAAGAAACCACTGCTTGACAGGGAAGTTTCCAGCAGAAACAGGACCAGAAACAGAGAGCAGACGGTCTGGGCTTCAGAGCAGAAAAGGTCTCACCCTCTGCCTGCGGAGGATCATCTTGTAGTCTTTGGCAGCTTTGCTGGCCCATTTCTTAGCTTCCTTCTGCAGACAGCTGTCTCCTTCTGATGGAAGCATGTCCTGCAGAGCAGACTCCTGTTCATGCAAAGGAGACAACACATCCTTTCTGAGCTTTCTGATGGTCATGCTCTCCTCATTAAACACTGATAAAGGTTCTTAAACTGACGTCTCTATAAATGTCTGCTGATGTCTTTGTTCATACACCGGGCCTCCTGCAGGGTTACCGTTTCCAACAACACAGATTCTTCTTACTTTATTTGGAACAGAAGAACAAAGATGAGGAGAACTCCTCAGTACCTTGTCCCGTGGAGCAGGCTCGAAGGGCAAATCAGGTGTTTCATGAAAGAGAACAGACTCCTGCAGAAACTGCTGAATGTTTCTCTCTCTGGTCACCTGACAACAACAACCAACGGGAGAGGCTGCTTATCATCAGAGCAACAACGAGGTGTTTTGCAGTTTGACTGTGAGCGTAAACAATCTCTGACTTTAATGTTAGGAGGAAGGTTTTCTTCTCAGACAGTGAATTCAAACACCTCAGCTTCACCTCTGACCTCTTTCTGCTCTTTTTTAATAAACACGTATAAAAAAGATTTTTCTCTTTGTCTCAGCTGAAGAACTTAAATAACAGGATGCTTTTATTCATCTTAATAATTCTTTCAAACACGTTTTTGCTACATCGTGGGAATTGTGGGGACCGAATGTGCATTGTGGGGACTAATGCCCAGTCCCCACAGATACAGATGCTAATTTTGGGTGGGGGGTTAGGTTTAAAACAAAGGTGTGAATTGAGTTTAGGTTAGTTTTGGGGTCAGGTTGTTACCTGTGAGGTTGGTTTTAGGATAAATGATCAGGGTTGGGATATAAAATTATCAAAAAATGAATGGAAGTCAATCCAAGGTCCCCATAGGGATACAAAAACAAATGTGTGTGTGTTGTACATGCTTACTGACACACCTTAGTAACACTTTCCCATATCCTGCTGAAGTGATTCTGTGTTGTCAGACAGGTTTCCATCTCTGTCGCACACAGCAGGCTGAAGTCGTGTCTTAAATCATCGTAAATATCACCGTCGATCTGCTGGGGAGGGAAGCAGACCATGTGGGTCAGGTTTCAGTTCAACTGGTTCCTGGCTGTTGTGCTGCAAATGTTCAGATGTATCAATGATGAAGGGATCATGGCTAACATCATGCTGTAGCTGCTATAAAGCATGTGTTTCTACAGTCTTGATCTGTGTGGCTGTTAAAGGCTTTATTTTTATGTTTGGTTTCTTGTGTTCAGGTTCTTATTGGTCCCTCTCTGTGTTTCTCTGTGCCACCAGTTCCTTTCCCAAGACTTCTCCACAGTCAGCTTCTACTCCTCCTGCTTCTCACAATCTGGGTGGCAGGGAGAGGGCCAGAGTTGGGCTTACTTATAGCTAAATATGTATTTTCCCTGCACCTTTGGGCTGGGGAATGGTTTCTGACTGTTGTCTACACTAACGCACCAAACACCACTTTTACAGGACAGGTGCTAAATGGCGCCCCGACTGGGACTAAATAGTCCTGCTGGAAGACTTTGAAACTCACCAGGGCAATGAAACTGTTACCTGGAGGGGTGTGACTGGAAAGAAAGGCCTGCCCTGTATGAACCTGAGCAGTGTTCAGTTATTGGACTTAAGGATGTCCACGGGTGTACTTGGCACCAGGACTACCCAGGTCACCAGGGGCAGTATCCATGAGTGGCAGTCTGGGGTGGTGGTGTCCATCTTTAAGAAGGGGGATCACACTCCTCAGACTACCTGGAGAATCTTATCTGGGGTCCTGGAGAGGAGTATCCTTGGAATGAAGAGGGTAGATGTAGTTTCTGTCCTGGCCCTGAAACCATGGACTAAGTTTTTACCTTTGTAAGGGTAGAAGGAGCGTGGACATTTACCCAAACGGTTCACAAGTGTAATTATTTAAATAATTTATGTTGTTTTGTAAAATGAAATGATTCAACTTTATGAATAAAATAAATAAATAAATGTGTTTTGTGGATCTGTAGAAAGCTTTTGACCGTGTTTCTATCAGTATCATGATGGGGAAGCTCCTGGATATGAGGTGGAATAAAACACGTCTATAACATTGCAGTTGTAACTACCACATTTTATTTATATTTTGTCTTTTCTAATAGTTTCTTTTTGATTTATTAAAGTGTAGTACTATGTTCCACCACTGTGGTCAATAATATAAAATACCCTGTTCGCAGAAAGAAAGTAGAAGCATTGCTGCAAGATTACTGTCAGCTGGACAGACGATAAAGATGAGGAGAAAAGTGGTTTAAAAAGAAGAAATTAAGCTGAATTCCTTTTGTAAGCATTCAGCCAACCAGGTATGTACATGTGTTTGTAGTAGTAATAAGTGTGCATGTGTATTATTTGTTGGTTATTTTACCAAGTGAATTGTTATTTTATCTGTTTCATTCAGTTTTCACGTGCTGAATTTTAATAAATTCTTCCGTTTGAGGAAACCACTGGATGTGCTTCGAAGGAATTAGAGCTGTAAATGCTGGTTTCATTTTGTCTGTTAAACCTCCATCAGCTGGTTATTCAGTTAAAAACACAACATCTCATTTTATCTTTATATTAAACCCTCCTGAAGTGTTTGAACAAAACAGAATTCAGACCAGAGGATGAGGGTCAGAATTCACCTCATAAAGCTAAAAACTTTCCTCTCCTCTTTCGATGTGTGTGGACACGTATTCACAACATGGGGACCATTTTGGTGCAGATGCTGATTTTAGGTTGAGGGTTCAGTTTAGGACTAAGGTGTGAATTGAGTTTAAGTTAGGTTTAGTGTAAAGGGTCCTGGTTAGGCTGAAAAAAAAAGACTGGAAAATGAATGGAAGTCAATGCAAAGTCCTTACATGGGTAGAAAAGCCAACGTGTGTGTGTGTGTGTGTGTGTGTGTGTGTGTGTGTGTGTGTGTGTGTGTGTGTGTGTG